ATGAAACAGTGAATACTCTTAACATATGGGCATAGTGAGTATTGTAAAACAAAATATTTGAAGAGAGAAATGTAATAAATGGGGTAGAGCTATCGGCCATTATGGGAGTTACAAATCAGACACATAGCTTATCCAAAGTGTACCCAAGTTGAGTCAAAATATGGAAATTTCATGACAAAGCTTGTTGCAATAATGAAGCTGGAAGAAATTGTGTGTATAATCTATGTACAAGAAAAATGACCAGAACTACAAGCTGAGGCAAAGGGAACAACAAGAAACATGAACAGCTCTTTTTAGAGAAATGGTGTATTTCATGTGGTGAGATGTGCTATCTTAATATTTGCATCTATATAAAACCAAACAGAAAATGGGTGAAATCTTGGTTCTGTTGAAGTCAATGGCAAGGCCTCATTGGCTTCAGTGGGGCCAGGATTTCACCCATAGAACTTATCTGAAAAATGCTGCTTCTGCTGCCCACAGTGTTTGATCTTGACTTTGTACATGTCAACGGGATGTCTCCTTTGTAATTATGAAAATGGTAGTACCCAGGGAAGATTTGTAAACATTTTGGGGCATCTTGTATACTGCTCGGTAATTTTGTTTATCTTATATATTCTGAACTCTCTGACATAGCACTAAGAATCTCTCTGCATTTTTCTTAAATTATGTAGCTCAGCATTTAAACCCATACACTTTCATATGCAAAGGCATCTAGAAAGAACAAAGTAATTCAAAAACTTTGGCTCAGCCAAACCAAGAAATCATGCAGTCTTCTCACGGGTGCACAGGAAATATGGGAGGTGTGTGTACACGGAACGGGGGTGATAATTTGTGGATACCAGCCCTGCAGAAGGACTTTGCTAGATTTCTCTTCCGCTTTTTTTCTTCTTATTACAAGACCAGTAGCTGTTCTTTTTCCCTTTCTATGTGTTATATGGGAGTTGGAGAACTTGAATCTGATCTCCATGTCACTACGGGCAGCGTTCCATAGCACATGCTGCTTAGTGCAGCTCCTGCCCTGCCTGCTTTGTTTATGCTGCTCATTAGTGGTGGATATTTTGTGTATTGGAAAGGGGATGCTCTGTGGAGCTGGAGGGCATCCTCTGTAATAGCTTTACCCCTCTGCGGGATCACTGGTGATGAAGATTGCTCTGGGGCTTTCCATTTGATCAGTGTGTTCCAGTTCCTTTTAGCTCATCATGTTTACACTTTAGACAAATTTTCTTACTAAACGGTTGTGTGATGAACATTAACCCTACCTTCAAATCTCACTACTGGACATGCTCACTAGCATGTGGTGGAAGAAAGGAAGGTTTGGTACAGTCTTAGATTCTATCATAATTACACCTGAATAATGGAGAAAGCTCATTGAGTGCAAAGTCTTTAGTAGAGATGATTGGTTTAGTCCAAATATGTTCACTTGACAAAACATTAGTATTCTCTGTTACCATTGTCTGTGCATGCATCTGGTATTTGTGTTATATCCTTGAAATGGAAATTCTGAACCTCATTATCCTTGATCTCCAAGCCAGCTTTGAGGTTTATCAAAGTAATAAAGTGGCTAACTACTTCGTTTAATTTGAAATTGTCTATTTAGTGTTGCTGGGTAGAATCTGGGTTTTAAATGTGGAACTAAAACTTGCCACACTCAGAGGTTTCAATGTCTTCCCCATAGCCCTTTTGGACCTAAGCTATGTAATGCAACTTAACATGAATTAATGAGAATAAAAGGAGAAGATTCTAATTGCTGGTGGTTAGATTTCTTTTGTATGAATTATACACTCCAAAACCATGTAAAATAAGTACTGATCTAAAATTCAATTCATTCCTCACTCTATTTTGAAGTCTCAAAGAGCCATACATCAGTATTAGAGAGACAAGGTGGCTGAAATAACACCTTTTATTGAACCAATAAAAGATATTACCTCACCTACCTAGTCTCTCTAATTTCCTGGGACCAACACTGCTACAACAATAATGCAACTATACATCAATATTGACATCTCAGGAGTAACAGAGTTTAAAAATGAGGACCACACCTTGTGGGCTCATCCTGGGTCAAAGTGCTGGTGAAATTAAGATTAACCAGTAAGGGGAATCTGAAGTGAGAGCAGCAGGAGGAACTGGTTCCTGGATTGGGAACTATTACATGGAAACATTTTTGTTCCCATTTTTCCACTTTGAGGCAGCCCATCAGTACAAGCAATTTTTGCAACAGCACCTAATTGAGAGGAAAGAAGATTCCCAGCTGGGGAATCTCTATTTATTCTCCTTTCTTCTGAAGAAAAATCTCTCCCAGTTATTGGTCCCTTCTTCTCTCCAACGGGCACAAGGAGATTACCACCACCCCCTAGTGTCTCCCTTCCTTTACCAGGAGAGGAAAGGAGAGAGATGTACTCTCTCCAGCTCCATAGGTAGTCTATTGATTAAATGTATTTAAATCTTCTACAATCCAGGATGCTGTATTGGAAATTTCAGAAATTTCTGGGACAAGTTCTGCCCCTTCCCATATTTTATTTTATTTGTTTAACATCACCACACAGTTTCCATCCTGAAACAAATAGGTGGGGAGACCAGTGATGTGCCCCTAACCAACTAACCCACTCTGTATGTGCATACATGTAGCATTTGATTGGATGGATGGCTATGGCCCTCTATGGGTTAAAGAATTCCTTTGGAAAACATTTCTTTTGTCTCCCTATTTTTCCCCTTGCTGCATTCCATCACTACAGGCTGATGCAATGCTGCCCCTTCTCATTAATATTAAAGTGATGACAATCACCAAAATCGATCCTCCCTTGATCTATTTGAACTCCTTGGACTGAGCATTTTGAGGCAGCTCCACATGTTTGAACAAGGGGAGTCAAGTGATTAAAGAAAATTAATTGCAATTAATCATGCGGTTAATTGCACTGTTAAACAATAATGGAATACCATTTAAATATTTTTGGATATTTTCTGCATTAAAATGTATTGATTTCAAATACAACACAACACAGTGTACAGTGCTCACTTTATATTTACTTTTTATTACAAATATTTGCTGTAAAAAAGAGATAATATTTAAGTTCACCTCATACAAGTACCATATACAAAAAATGATGATTTCTTTTGTTTATCCTTTTTATAGTGCAAATATTTGTAATATAAAGTGAGCACTGTACACTTTGTATTCTGTGTTGAAATTTAAATCACTATATTAGAAAATTTAGAAAAAACCCAAAAATATTTAATAAATTTCAATTGGTATTCTTTTAACAGTGCGATTAAAACCCCACAGAAATGGGCTGCAGTGTTGTTAGCCAGCACTGGGGGCCACTGGACTCGGCAGAGCCCAGCTTGCACATAGAAGACACTGCTGGCGGGAGGGGGAGCGAGAGGGAGCTAGAGGATTTCTGGCAGCTGCAGTTCCCAGAATGCCTTGAAGGAAGGAGAGGGCGGTGCACAGGAAACTTCATAAAAGCCTGGGACCCAGCATCAGGCTGTTTCTCCCTCTGGATCCCTATGCTGGGGGGGAGGGAGGATGGATGTCTTGGGAAGGGGAGCCCCTGAGGTTGGGCTCTGGGGAGGAGGGGGTTTGGGTGTATTGGCTGGGGGGGGCACAAGAGGGTTCTGAGGGGGAGGGGTTGTGAGTGTCTGGCCCCTGGGGGGAAGGAGATAGAGAAACAGGAACTCAGGCCTGGTCTACACTACGGGTTTAGGTCGACTTTAGTAGCGTTAAACCGAATTAAGCCTGGACACGTCCACACAACGAAGCCCTTTCTTTCGACTTAAAGGGTCCTTTAAACCAGTTTCTTTACACCACCTCTGACGAGGGGATTAGCGATAAAACCGGTCTTTGCGGGTCGGAATTGGGGTAGTGTGGACGGAATTCGACGTTATTGGCCT